GGTCGTGACCATTAACGTCAATAGGTTGAAACGTTTCCAAGGGCGATGGAGTCGACCGTTCCCTTCTGAAGTACCCGAGGGAGTCCAGTCGAGTCCGGGTGTAGACGACGACGGACCTCTATCAGAAGAGGACCTCCCCTCTACTAGCTTCGTAGAGAGACTCCTGATTGGAGGGGAAGAGACGGCCCTGACCGGAGTTCCTTGCTCTGTGATCGACATAATCGCCCGACGCAAAAAGAACCGTGAAGAGCAGTTCCTGGTGTTGTTAGCTACCTACGAGACTCTTTGGAGACCACGAAACACACTAGTGCCCACCTACGCTGCTCTGATCAAGGCGTTCGAAGAAACCCGTCGTCGGGAGGGAGACCTACCAGAACTACGTCGCAGCGCGCGGTTGGAAGACGCTAACGCCGCCGTTGACGAAGAAGAGCTACTCTTCTAGGGAGGGGGAATCGTGGCGGGTCGACCCAATGAGCCAGAGTAAACTCACGACCCCGCCTCCCTCGAAAGTGTCCTGAAGAACACTTCTTACGACTTTGTATATTTTTGGATTCTACTTCACAAGTGGCTGATCTCCTACATACCAAAAAGAAAAACAATCTTACCGCGATCTCAAGAAAAAGAAACGAAAACAACAAGTGGGGACGAATCGTGGTGAAAAACAAAAAGAAACTTAAAAAGGAAGACTATGCCAGTACTCTTACTCTCATCCAGTGAGGAACGGTTCTGGAATGGTACGAATCAATAACTTCTCGACGGCCTCTCGTTAGGCTGTTTTGTCGGACTTTTTAGCCGGCGAACTAGGAGCTGAATGAACACCCGGCGAACTCGACTTCCGAGGTGCTGACGGGGACCGCGAGGCCGAGCGTCCCTTAGGGGGCACTGCCTTCTTCAAGGAAGGACCCGAACGCGACCGCTTACGCGTACCGTCCAGCGACGCTGGAGCTGACGGAGGAGTCGGCGTTTTGCCGTTGATCGGTTTGTCGGGGGTGACTTTACTCCCCTTCGAGTGCGAAGGTGATCGTGCTTTGCCCCGCCGGTACTCCCTACTCTTCTTGATGGTTGAGGACTTCGTCGGAGACTTCGACCGAGACGCAGGACGCTCCTCAGAACGTGACCGACGGGACTTCTTGTGCACTGGGGACTTCGATCGTGACCGTAAAGGAGAAACAGAACGTTCTGACGAAGCAGCGCGCGCTTTGAGTTTGCCTTTAGCGCGTGAAGATGAAGAGGACCGCTTGAGCGACGAACTTAATCGAGGCTTCTTCAGGGAGGAAGAACTGCGAGACGGGGAACGGGAATGCTTCGCGCGCTCTTTCGCCCTCCGAGACTTGTGAGGAAGCTGTAGACGCTTGTTGGGAGGCTCGTCGTCCTCCGAACTTTCGTCGGAACTAGAAGAAAGGCGCAGCGTCTTCTTAACGGGGCGGAGTTCTTCAGAGTCGCTCTCGGCTTCATCCTCCTCGTAAGCCGACTCTTCCTCACTCGCTTCCTCCCAAATCGCCGTGTAAGTGCCGTCCGTACGCTCATACGCCGCATATTCCGCCGAGTCAGCTTCAGACGCATCTAAAGGGGTTACCTTGGGTGTTCGAAGAGCTCCTTTCTCCCGTTCGCGCGAAAGCCTGGCCGTCATCTTCTGAAGACGCGACCAGTGACTAAGCGCATACCAGACTCCCTTCGAACGATCCCCTACCCAATGAGGTTCATGATCCTCCTTCGACTTAATGTCCAGCAGAACGAGGGCCAACGCCCGATCCGTGAGCTGACTGTCGGGCTTCGAACTATTTGGGTCCAGGGCTCCGGTATGCTCCAACAACTCCGGGATGGTCGTGAAACCTCCCTCGTCGATCCGGAACGGCTTGAGAGCGTTCTTCACTTTGTCGTGAGTACGCTTCTGAGTCGCGCGAGTACAGCTTAGACAAGTTGTCGATGACGGGGCCATTGTAGGACTTGGCGTCTGGGGCGTTCCGACCAGGCTGTCCTCCCATCCACATAAGGCGACGACGGTGCGCGCAGCTCTCGAATAGACGAAGGAAGCCGAAGTAGCCCCAGGTCTCGATACAAATGCTCAGGAACCAGACGCGTGCGACTACTGCCGCCATCTTAGCCTTGCGCCGCTGGGTCTGCGCGTTGGAGGTCCTCAACGGGACGTTCGCCTGCCAATCCCAGAACTTGGAACGGTTCTCGTTCCAGAAGCGCCAGTGAGAAGCGTGCACATGCGGGTACTCTTGCGGGTTGTACCACAAGTGCGAGCCCGGCCACGGATACGCCAGCTGGTACGGTTCCTGACCTAACTCGGCCGCCTCGTAATAAACCCGTTTCAGATCATCGACCACGGGAGAAGGAGTCGTGTCGGATAAATTGAAGGGTAACGCGAACGAAGACCACGGGTGACTCGGACGCTTCTTGCCGGATCGAGGGCTCTCCGTGATCGTCTTCTTCTTAGTCGAGCCAGTGCTGACACTCTTGAGCGGAAAGCGACCATCTTGCGTGAAGCGGGGGTGCCGAGGCGGCTTCCCGCGAGTCGGTTGCCGAGGCGGCCTGAGCATGATAACTACCGGCCCCGTCAGAGCGTCCGAAGCCTTCCCCGTGTCGTCCAAGATCGCGGCGGCGACGTCGTCCAGAAGCTCGAGGCCGATGGAGCTAGCGTTTGCGGCCAGGACGTCTCGCATGAGGATCCAGAAGCGCTCGTCGGCCGGAGTGTCATCGGAAGAGGAGCCGTCGGAGTCTGAAGACTCCACGTTCCAGACGGCCTTGAGACGACGCGTGGCTGTTCCGCGCGAGGTGCCCATACTGGGGTGGTGAAAAGAGAGGGCGCCGAGGGTGTGTCGGAAGTCGAGGCAAAATTGCCAAATGAGCATGAAAACTGACCGTCGGTGCCTGGACCTCCGGCCCTGTCTCTCTCGAGGCTCCTGTGATAACTGTATAGTGGGTGCAAGAGAGACTCCTGAAAAGGGCGAGGAATCGGAGTTCTCCTTTCCCAGCTACTGGACTTGACAGATGGGTGGCGACTAAGAAGGATGGAGGTCGAATGACGTCGAGAAGAGTCGCCAGGGGAGTACTCAGTTTCTTATTTGCCGAGTGTACTCCCGTCTAAATGGAGCCCCATACTAGTGTCTTCTACGAGTATGCCCGCTGGGAGCTGTGGCCCGTGTACGTAGGGGCTGTAACGGTCTGGGTCCTAACGACTTCTCTACGTAACGTTACCTGGGAGTTCTTGGTCCAAGTGTGGCGTGTGATCAAGTTGAACTGCGATATTTTGGGGCGACTGTGCGTCGTTATACAGAGACGTGCTTCAGGCAAACGAACTTCGTCAACTTCGGGGAGCTACCTACGCGTATGGAGTGTGGAGCGCGCTATTTGCTGTGCCCCCTATTGTTCTACTCAAAGGAGAAGAGAAGTATGGTCGTTATGGACGGATGTTGCGGAGTTGGTGGATCGCCTGCAAGGTGACATTCTCCGACTACATCCCCGAAGTCCTCCTCCGTACAAGAGATTCGAGCATACGCTATTGGTACGCTTTCTGGGACGCTCTCAAGGCCACGTGGATGCGCCTGTACGCGGTGGGAGAAGCCACCTGCTGGATAGTACTACTATGCCTGTCTCTACTGCTGTACATCCCAGTCAACGCCTTCGATCTGGTGGAGTTCGTACTCCTGGGACCAGTGGGTGTTGGGACTGTACTATTGCTCCTACTAGCTACCAACTACTGCCTCGAGTGGACCGGCTGGAGTCTCGCCGACACTCTTGTCGTGGTGGTCGCTGGTGTGGTATCTCACGCTTGTCGTCAATACGACGAGGGGAGCCCCCTCCGATCTGTCTCCCCTAAGGTACTGGTCGAACTAGCATTGACGAGTACCCGCCACAACGCTTATCAACGAAGTATGGCCGAGGCTCGGAACATCGAACGTCTGCGGGTCGACGACGATGTCGAGGTGCTATATGACTTTCAAGCCGCCGACCCTAACTACGTTGAGGACAGCTCCGAGGCCTACCACGAAGCGTTCCAACCTCCCCTGTCTGAAGAAGTTGCTAACGACGGAGTCTATAGTACTAGCGTGAGAGATGTACGCAGAGGAACCGTTCGCCGAGGACGACGAACGACAAGTCGGGGAGGATGTCCCGTACCCGGGAACGGAGGGTCATTCCAGGAGCTCTGCCTCCCGTCGGGATGACCCGAGACCTTGGAATCACTCCTCGCCCCGCCGTCCCGTCAGGGTGGTTCCCGTTGAACTCAACCTCGCACGTACCCTTGACCGAGCCCGTTAGGGTGGTACTATAAGGGGACCCCTGAACGCCGGAGTCTTGGCGTCGGGGACCAAAAGCACCTCTCGACATCAAGCCCTTTCCCAGAGGCTCTCCGTTGTCCCACGAAGGCCGACAACAAACGAAGTGAATCCTTCCTTTTTTATGTAGTGTAGTGTATGTAAGGTCGAGAAGGTGTTAGGCCTCTCTTCCGGTTAGCTCTCAGTCTTATATTTCCCTCCTTCTACTCAAGAGGAAGCCAAGCCAATCAACAAACTTTTATTTTCAACTCTCTAGTGTTCCTATCTACCGTTCCTGCAGCCACTGAACAAGACCGTACTCCCTGAACAGCCGCGGACTACCCGACCCTTGAAGGAAGAGGAGGTATACGACACAGTGTATGGACGAAACACCTCATCGAGCGTTTCGGTTACTGATCAGTAATGATGTTTGCCCTGACTACGTGAAACGTAGTTTAAAAAAATGAATTTAATCAAAAGAGGAGAAGTCTCCATTTGCCAATTCACTTTTTTATGGACTGTAAGCTTAGATCGAACTCCAATTTCCAGTTTTCCAGGTTCAATAAACATCAAAAGGGTCATCGATCGCCTAATAGTCCCCACTGAATCCTTGTGATGCCCTCATTTGCCATCCTTCAGTGTCAAGAGGGCTTTCAAGGCCTCTTTCTCTTTTCCAGTCAGCTCTTTGACAGCATTGCCGGCTTGTTTCACTTCTTTGACGGAGGCTTTCGATAACTTCTACGGTGCTTCGGCGGCATCCGATCTCTTGATGACATCAACGATGCTGCCTAAACCTCGATCTTCTTCATCGGTCATCGCGTCATCATCTTCCGGGCCTGCGACTCGAAGAAACCTCTTCTGGGAAGCAGTATTGGTCATTTCGCTGGCTGCGAAGTCGGGAGAGACCTTCGACAAGAGCTGAGAGTCATCGGCATTCGTGAATGCTGCGACGACACTGCAGCGAGCTAAAACGGCGACAACAAGAACAATGTAGAATGTACTGCGCATGATTCTGACGGGTCCAGGAAGGGACTTGTGGTGTTGAGGGCGAAAAGTCAAGTGACTGCTGGTGATCTTTCGTTTGGCCACTGGTCCGGTGGTTAATACACGAACATTGAGGGTTCCTCGTGATGAAGTCACGATGGGGACGTACGGTTACAATAACCGTCGGGTACAGTAAACAAGAAAGCACTGGAGAAACCATAAGCAAACAGTTTACTTTAAGAAAGTGAGGACTACGCCCAGCTGAGGTGAAGGGGGTGAAAACGAGTGCAATTTAAAACGGAGAAGACCAACCGAGGCGAGCAGATGACATGGCCGTGGGGCATTTGCGCAGGCAGGCTCAGCGCCGACCTTTCAGTAAAGCCGATTATATCTCTCTCAAGGGGAAGATAATCTTTTCGTTGCAGGAGCGCAGCGACTTGTCCGCTGCACGTCCGCCCGTTAAGTAGTTTCGGTTTTTTGCTATCTAAACAACTGTGTTGCTGTCTACACAGCTTGAAAGAAAACAATGGTCAAGCTCTATTCGTTTAGGACATATGAGCTCTTCTTGTTCAATCGGAAACTATCTACAGTATTTATGTTACATACGATTTGGCGGCTCAGCCTGTTAGAAATCCACTCAGATAACTTACATGTATTTTAACAGCACCATTATAGTCATTATTTTAGTCGAGGATTGTTTTTGTATGGAGCGTAAGTAAAACTTGACGGTACATAACTCGGCCAGACTAACATGTAAGCACCTTCTCTTTTATAGCACTCGAATATTAAAAATAACATGCGATATTTAATATAGTAAATACTAAAATACATGTAGCTAAATGATGCGCTGGATAGCCTTGTGCAAATCTGCATATGTACACTGTGAGCCAGCTTTGGCTGATTATTGGGATTTGAAGGTCATCTACGGAGTGTCCGTTGCAAAGCGCCCGTGCAGAAACCAACAAAGCAAAGCGTAACATCGCTGTGAAAAGAATTATGACCACTTTAACGACAGCGTTGCCACAAATAAATTCCAAATGAATTTTAGAAAACGTCCAGCATTGTGGCTCAAGTGTGGCTGGTTACTTATACGTGTAAAGGAGGACATCCAAGTTTTGATTAAATATGGCATCTTTGGCGTACTCGTCACAAAGGCCACAATGGTGACTAAGGGAAGATGTATATGTTTCCGATTCGTATTGAATTAAATACGTAAAGATTTATATCAGTACGTCAGATGACAACATCGGGAGTTCTCATTGTGACGATACAAAGTAACGATGGGGACTGAAAATATACCGGTATACAGTACGATGGCAGTAATCTCGAAAACACTGGACACACAGTAAACACACAATTCAGCATACACTGTAATTCATCTCTTGCGTATCCACACTTATAATAATTTTGAGGAGCCAGTGCAGAAAACTAAGAAATCGTTGGGAAAGAAAAAAAATGAGCAAATAATAGAGATAGTACATCGACTCACCCATTTTAATGCGTATCTTGTGACTCAATGACTCACAAACAGTCGTGGCGATTGCGGATTCATATTCAATCGTGCGAGTAACCCTTTTCGCGACTCTCCTTTCTATGTCATTCAAGGTCAAGTAACTTAATACGAAAAGGCGCAAAATTCACCTAGAAAAACTACCTTAAACTCTACCTATCTCCGTGGGGACTGTAAGTTGTGCCTCATTATTCGTCGGGAGTCTTGGAGGGCAACGAGATGAAGGGCGAATTTTGTGCCGCTTTACAATTTCACGGAACTCTTTTAAAGTTTATGTCAATTGGCTAATATTCAGTAATGACACGACTAGTCAGCAGTAAGAAGGGGTACAATGAACCTTTTTGAGTAATACACAGTGGTAATAGATTCAAAAAATTTATTCGTGGAGCAATGCCTAAAAAAATGGAACCCAGTATTTACGACTGGTTCCCCGTTTTTTGGAGGCATTGCTTGTCGATGAGCCACGAAAAAACCGGCCAACTGCTTTACGGGATTCCGAGTCTCTTAAAAAGCGATAATCATTTGGAACTGTGCGTGTCACTTACTGTCGGTTTCCGAGGCCAACGTAAGGAGTAGCGTTAAGCTCGAACATGCGAAAGGAGACGACAATATCGCTCGCCTGCTGATCTTGGGACCAAAGGAGGCAACTATACACGCCTCCAGGCTTTTATCGAAGGCAGAGATTATGCACAGTTCGAGGGCCTGATCCAATGTGGTGACCCGCTTGTATGAGAGAAGTAAACTAAATTGTCGTGTTCATACTATTTCATATTCATACTACCTCATATGTAAAACAGAGTATTGACTGTTTGCAATAAAGTTTCTAAATAGTAAAATATATATTAAAAAATAGTCAGATTATGAGTCCGAGCCGATATGGTTCCGGGCTGGTTCGGAAAGTACGTTCCAATAGGACCATAAAAAACTAACAACGTAACGATGTGTCTCCGCCTCCTGTTTTGACCCCCCCCCCCACTTGTTACTTAAAAATGCGACGGGATAATAGCAAAGCGTAATGAATGAAGCGCTCGATGGCGCCAGAAGCAGAGACGCGTACCAGCCACGGCTGGGAGGACATCCAAGCCAGATTTGGCCTATCGCTAAGAATACTTCTTTCCGATTATACGGATGTCAAAAGCAAAATACCACCGTCAACACTGCAGCACATCGCTCAAGTACATTTGCACGGAACTCAGCAGCCGATGGTGAAGAAATTAGCCTGAGTGTGATCGGCTGTGGTGGAGATGCTGCTTCGGGGACAACGCGTTGAACACGTAGAAGCTCCAGCAACCCGCGATACTGTACACGCCGCACATGTTTGTAGTCTTTACGGATCTAACGATGTTTTAAATGTTGTATGGAGCTGCACGAAGCGCAACAGTCAATAGTAGCGGAGCTGGGGAAGTGAGGGCCACCGTGATGGAGAGACTGCGTTGGCTGGTGCAAACGTAGAAGCACCCCAAGGTGCTGTATACACCGAACAAATGTGTGCTCACTATGGATCTAACAAAACTTTATATGCTGTATGCAGCTACACGAAGTATGACAGTCGAAGGTGCGTGTAGCAGCTGCACGCCGCACGTCAGCTGAAGTAGACCCAGCTGTCGGCGTGAGGATGTATACATAATAGATGTTCGTGGCTCGGATCGTAAAAAAACACGAAGCTGGTGAAGTGTGGTATTGACGCTCACGCTTACATCCGACCAAAATTGAAGTTAACGCTATCCCACGTTTTGCTAAGCGATTGCGAAGAGATAACGTTCAATGCTCACGAATTGGTTAAAATGTTAATTTACAACAGCTGTATATGATTGGTCGAATTCACGACAAAAAATACCCGTCTGGTTAAAAATTAAAAACTTTCACACTAAAATGCTGAGTTACCTGCGGGCAAAAGTCAGTGCCTGGCCCAATGGACCAGTCCACACTGAACAACTTCGGTTTTAGTTTTTCCGATTCCGTTTTATTACGTATGATGGACAGGTGCTCACACTTTTGCAAACTTTTTTTAGTTTACATTTGTTTTGTTTTGTTTTTCTTTAATCTATTGCACTTTTGTCCCCAGGATTTGGTTTGAGATTGCTGGCTTGGGGTCTCTTTCGTCGTCGATGCAACGTGGCAACAATGCGAGCTGCTGTAGTAGCTTGTTCAGCGAGGATGAAAACAGTACCTTATATTCTGGCGGATCAAACAGTGTGGGTGATAATACGGACGGGCACCACCACGAGTGCCAGCCAGGTGACAGAGATTGCCTTTCCGAACGTGGAGGTACTAATACAACTGAGCGTGGAGGTCGGAGTAGACGCGCCGGGGGTAGATGACGTGGTGAGACTGAAGAGAAGAAGTGCAAGCGGGGAAGGTTTGGTGCATTGACGAGGTATTGTTACTGATCCAAGCTTGGAAGTAGGCGTAGCTTTAGCAGTTCCCCGTAAGCCATACGACGCAGGGTACCGCTGCGGCGGTTTATGAGGCCTATAGTTTGCGTTTGCTTTATCTTAAGGTCGAGCAAACCGGGTCTGCTGTGAAGAGCACAACTTCCTTTCATGCTCGTCTGGAAAACGCCCCGTCCTGTCCTGAGGGTGGTCTAGCCGTCAACGAGCCTACGTTCCGCCTGCGCTCTAGGCGTGCTGTTAGGAAAAGGATGTCATCTCTGAAATCTCCCTATCCGCTGACAAGCGATCACAGCAATGGATCGTTGGTAGACATCACCGGAAAAGAGGGGCGGTTGGAAATGTCTAGTGCAGAACTGTTATGGGTTTTACTGGAAGACGAGTGAGTCTTGATCGGCTTGCGTAGTTGCAGCAAAATGAAAGACTAAATTGAATAGAATGTCTTTAGTTGGGCAGAGTGAGAGCAAGCAGGCACGAGATGCTATTGCCTAGTGCCTAGAAATGAAACCTGTGAGATGAAGCTACAGGAGCTGCGAAACTACTGGAGTAATTGCGATCGAGCTGCCATGCGACTGCGTGGAGCAGCTTGCCAGAACTTGTGACCTTGAAGGGCAATGCCCTTCACACTCCCTTCTTTAGAATAGCAGTAGTCCGGGTAGTTGCAACTGGTCGAGATACTCCCGAATAAGTTTTTAACCTCTCCGAGATTGGACAGAGGGTCCCGAAAGAGAGCTATCAATCTACTTTATCTTGTACTGTTGAATGTCTTTGCGATTTCGGTGTCCTGTTTCCGCCTGTACGAGGTGACCTGTCGAACTATCAGCGACGAGGACCGCTGGAACTCGTTGTCGACGGCTCGGATCGGGGTCGGAGTAATAGCGACGTAGCAAGGAGACATGGAATTCGGGAAAAAGACGTAGACCATCAGGAAGTTCTAGCCGATAGCGATCGGGGCCAGTGACCGCCTCAATTAGGTATGGTCCAATAAATCGGAATGCAAATCTGGGCTTCCCCGCTGATCCAGTGTGTGAAATATCGAGATTTTTGGTGTCGAGTAAAACTTTATCGTCAATGGCAAAACTAGTGGCGGGGCGATTGCGGTCGTAGTTGCGGTGCCAAGAACG